GGGGGCCTCCGCGGCTGCCCCCTCCCCCGGGTGGACGGCAGGTGGGGGGTGGGGCCCGCGAGTGCTGGTCTCGGCGGGTCGGGCTGCGCTCGCGCCCCTGGGTCCTGCAGCCCCAAGCCTGGGGCGTCGAGGGTGGGGGTCAGCACCCTCTACATCCAGCTCAGACACTCGCGATGGACAGGCGGGGACTGCGGACTGAGTCCTGGGGTGGACAGAGGCCCGGGGTACAGTGGGCAGTGAAGACGACGCGTCGTCCACGCGGCCATCTGTCCACACGGTCACCCGTCCACGTTTCCTGAGCTCCTGATGGTGCCCAGCGCTGCCCCGGCCGCCACCAACAAGCCAAGCGGAGCAAACTCACAGGTTGCTGGTGCACTGAGAGAACTTTTGGCCGCTCCCCCCAGGACAACGGTCTGTGCAGTGGGCTGCTGGGGGGTCTGAACCTGCGTCCGCCGCGGCGTGGTGGCCGGCGGATGACGACACGGGAGCCCCGCCGAACGCCCGGCTAGCACTCATGCAGCCCTCCGGTGCGAGGCCTGGGCTTCCCAGGGCAGGGACGCGGGAGCGTCGCGGTCACCCTGCTCCGGCGGCCCTGGGGTCTCCACCTGACGTCCTCGGCCTTGGCGTCCGGCGGACCCGCCCAGCCCGTGAGGCGAGGTTGGGAATAAATGGCCCCTCTCAGCTCCAGGCTGGACGCTCGCAGGGAGAAAGTTCAGCAAACCCCAAGGCCCATCTCCTTGACAACCACCAATAAGAGCTCCTTTTTTCTTCTCCTGCTCTCCCGGCTCAAAGACAGGACTTTTTCTTTTTGTCCCCTCTGCCTGGGCCAGTGTGGGCCTTTCCCCTCGTCATCTCTCCACCCAGAGACAAATCAGCGCCCCCCCTCTGGTGTCCACTCTAACTTCACACCACCTTGTGGCATTGGCCTGGTGGCTGATGAAAGGTCCCCCACATGGGGTGAGCCGAAAAGGCCAGAGAGGAAGGAAGGGCTGGTCTGGCTTCTGCGAAGTCCCCCTGCTCCTACCCCTTTACGACCCCACCCTTTCTGCCTGTTGCCCCCAGCTGGTGTTTTATTTAGAGCGCCCTCCTTCGCTTGGCAGGTATTATATTGTCCCTTTCTCAGTCCTGTAGCTTTCCAGTTTCTCCCCCAGAACTCATTTATCTTGTTCCTGGGGCAACAGGACAGCACCTGTGTTTTGGGGGATCTGACTTACCGAAACCAATATCCTTTAGCGTGCCCCCAGCCCTGGCCAGGTATCCGCCCAGCTTGATGACAGCGGGCAAACCCGCCAGGCTCTGCCGTACCCCCAACCAAAGTCGGGGTAGAGACGGGGTGTGGCTTGTTATACTGTGACTCCCATGGCCCAAGGAGTTTACTTATGTGAATGTTTGGCCCATAGCCTGTCCCCAAGGAATTGCTCAGGTCCAGGTTGCTGGGGACCCCCTCCCCCAAAGATGTACAGACAGAGAAAAAGTGTTTCCTGCGTCAGAAGGAGCAGTCAGGGGGCAGGGTGGCCCACTGGAGACGCACCTGCAAGGCCCTCACAAATTCCCTCTGGGAGGGTGCTTATGGGACAGAGAAGGAGGAGGTCACTTCTACCCATGGCCTAGAGCTGGGCACGAAGCAGGAGGAAGGGCGTTTCCCGGCGGACAGGGGAGACGGGCGAGGAGAACGTGCCGAGACCCATAGACAAGGCAAGGAGCACGCTGATGGAGAGTTAGCATTCCAGAAGCCCCTCGAAGGCTGCCCAGTGAGGCCGCACTGTGTGTGACCGTGACACAACAGAGCGCCGCCCACAGAGCCTGGCGCGCCGTACCAGGCTGGGATGGGTGGATGGGGAGGGAATCTAAATGCCGGGAACCAGCAAGGGAGCCTCGGAGTCCCTGGAGACTGAGGCTGGAGCTGTCACCTTCCCAAGGCCTGCGAGCTCCTTTGCAGGCAAACTCAGCTCCCGGCCGTCCTAGGCGCTGCTTCGTGCACCCACAGCCTGAGTGTCCCCTCTGCCGGCAGCCCCCAGCGCTCCCCTTCCTCACAGGCTCACCCCTCCTCTCTGTCCGCACCCCAATCCCTGCCTGTAAGCTGGGTGCAAGGCTTCCTTGCGGCTCCCTGAGACCCCTGGACTTTGCCCCTCAGGCCCAGCTCACCCTGTGCTTCCTCTCGGTCTCTGTCCATACTGGGGGCTCCAGGGCCAGCGCCCAGCAGATCTATACCTGGGGCCATAGTCCCCAGTGGGAGCTGAAGAGATTATTGTCGCATGAGCAAGTGGGTGACCCAGAATCCCCCACAGGGAAACAACCCTGTGGCTATCGAATGGGCCAGAGGGAGTGAGTCCAGCTGTCCACTCTGTCCTGGCTGCCCCCACTCTGTGCCCCGTGGGAAGCAGTAGGGGCCAGCAGGACCCACGGCCTTGGGTGCCAGAGCAGGCGACGCAGGCCCTGGGGCCCTTTGGCTCCCCCTGGTGACGCTTCACACTCGTCTGAGGAGAAGCAGAGCATCCCTCCTCCTCCTTTTGGTACTCAGGGCTCCCTAACAGGCCCTCACTGGAGATTGAGCCCAGCGGGAATGATATGGCACCTCTCTGAAATTCACCTTCTCAGTAATACTAGACTTACGCCAGGGTCTGTGTGCAGGTTTGGGGATTAAATGAGATACTGACCCGGAAGCCCTTGGAGCTGTCTTGCACACAGAGGCCGTGGTACGTGCTGTTAGGATGAACATTATAATTTTCTTTTTTTTCCTGTTTTTTTTTTGGGTACCGAGAACCAAACTCAGGACCTTCCACTTCCCAGGCAGGCACTGTGCCGCTGAGCTATATACCCAGCCCTATAATTTTATTTTTTGGGGACAGGTTCTCACTATGCAGTTCAGGCTGACCTTGAACTCACTACATAGCCCAGGCTGCCTTCAAACTTGTAGTGATCCTCCTGCCTCAGCCTCCTGAGTGCTGGGATTACAGGTGTGTGCCACTATGCCTGGTGATCATTATAATTATTATAAGTACTGTTACTATTACTACTAGTTCTAACACTATTACTGTTACGAGTAGATGATAGCAATATCTAACTGGTTAAGAATGCCTCACTTTTAAACATTTCCTCAGGAAGAATTCTCTTGATTAATGGTTGTGAAAATTTATTGAGAATATAAATTTCCTTGCAAGTATAAAATGTCATTGCGTGGATGTTAAGCCTCAGCCTCGAAGACCTCAGAGGCTTTTGTTCTCTTTTTTTTGGGGGGGGGGACAGGGTTTTACTATGCAGTTCAGGCAGAACTTGAGCTCACTTTGTAGCCCAGGCTGGTCTTGAACTCACAATGATCCTCCTGCCTCAGCCTTTGGAGTGCTGGGGTTACAGTCTGTGCCACCATGCCCGGCTCTGTTCTCTTTTCTTTTAAAAAATAAGATCTAGTGTGGTGGCACATGCCTGTAATCCTAGCATTGTGGAAGGCTGAGACAGGAGGGTTGAGTTCGATTCCAGCCTGGGTCGCTTAGTAAGTCCCACTCTCAAAACAAAAAGGGCTGGGGATATAGGTCACTTTGAAGGCAGTGGGTTCAATCCCCAGTACGGCAAAAAAAAAAAAAGAAAAAGAAAAAGAAAAAGGAAATAACACCCAGCAGTGGCTGCACACTTGCATACTTTGGTGTGACTCCTTTGACAGTAGTCACTTTTTATAATCCTTGGGTGACTTGGGATCGTGCAGGACCTTCTTTTTGCCTGTCCTGCCAGTGAGCCTCAGTCCAAGTGGGCTCCCTGTGCAGGCTCTGAAGGGGCCTGCCTGCGCAGAGGGGCTGTGTATTCTGATCTGTCATCGTATGCAGGGACGTGGTCTCTAGGCGGGGGCCACAGCAGCAGCAACGCTATGTTCACCATCCGTGTGGCTCATGTAGGCCTGGCTTGGAGCCACGTTCTACATCTTTCTAACTTTCTAGAACCTCTGGAAGTCTTGGCACCACCCCAGCCTGGCATCTCAAGGAGGTGTGAGGTGGGGTGAAGCCAAGAAGGGCATCTCAGAGGTGCCAAGGTGGGGCTCAAGTCCCCATAGCCTCCCAGGCCAAGAGCCTTGCAAGTCACCAATGGCCGTCCGGCACCTCCAGGGTGCAATGGCGGAAGTGACTGGAGTTCGTGGACCTATGGGCAGGAAAAGCTGCAGATGAGACCTGGAGACGCACCCCTTGGACAGCTGGGGCGACATCCTGCCACCTAGCTATCCTTTCTAGACCTTGATCTCACACCTCTGTGGGGGCCAGGGGATGAGACCGGCCAATCAGTCAGTCGGACAAGGACATGAGTGAGCCTGGCCTCTCAGGCGCCTTCCTGGGATTCTGTCTTCCTCCCCAGGTGGGCGAGAGGCAGTAAGAGTGGTGCCCGGCTGTCTGCCCTGTGGCCCTACCATGGTGGGGACAGTGGGCCTGGGAGAATGGGCCACCAGTTGGAGAAGCAGGGGAAAGATAAAGAGGAAAAGGAAGGAGAGAGAGAGACAAAGATAAAGAAGAGGCAGAAGACAGAGACAGAGAGAGGGACGGGGGTGTGGCAGGAGCAGTTTTAAGGTCCTGCAGAGCCACCCCTTGCGCTTTTATGATAGCTACATTAGTTTCTGTCACTTGCAGCTGAAATAGTCCTGCTCAAGCCTTGACCAGTGCTGGGGAGCTGTCCGTGAAATGACAGTATGGACAAACACATGCTGAGCTTTGCCCTAAACTCTGTTTTGTTTTGTTTTTTTTTGAGACAGGGTCTCGCTATACAGTTTAGGCTGACCTTGAACTCACTATGTAACCCAGGCTGGCCTCGAACTTGCAGCAATCCTCCTACCTCAGCCTCCTGAGTGCTGGGATTACAGGTGTGTACCACCACGCCTGGTTTGCCATAAACTCTTTACATAGACCATCTCAGCAGCCCCACAGCTCCCCAGGAGACCTGTGCTGCTCTCCCCATTTACAGATCTGTGGAGTGACACGGGGAAGTTCCCTAGGGATGTGACCATTCCGTGACTCTTCCAAGTCAGAAGAATCTAAGCTAGCCATACAGACTTTGCAGAGAACTGAAGTGAGGCTGTGAGACAGTGTGTGTGTGTGTGTGTGTGTGTGTGTGTGTGTGCTATTATCCAAAGAGCTGAAACTGTCAGGACCCGAACATCACAGCCCCAAGCCCTGTTGGGGTGGCGATGGGTGGGGGAGGTTGGATCTCTGCCTCAAGTTCATGGGATGGACTTGGTCTTCCAACTTCTTCTCTTTCCTTTTGGAGTTATAGGGGAGCCTGTGCCAGACCCCCTCCCTGGGTGTCTGAGCTGCTGTGAGTCAGAGGAGGGCAGGGGTATGCTTGCACTGCAGAGTAACGTGCAAAACTCACCCACCCGACCTGCCGGTGCTAATTGTGCAAGAACACCTTCTTCACAAAAATTCACACTTTTTCCAGTTTAAAAGATCATATCTATTCAATTTGAAAAAGACCCCGAGGGGGCATCCATTAACATTCTGCTCTATTTCCTTCCGGTCTTTTTCCCACAAGCTTGTACATTTTTTAAAAAAATTAAATTAAGAACCTATTTCATATAGAGCATGCATTTCTGCCTCTATAGTTATCCTACTTACCTGACCTTTACACAGGCATACCTGGCATACAAACAACACGCGCTGTCCTACATCCATAATTCAGCAAGTTAACTTTTTTTTTTATTGTGGCAAAATATACATCACATAAAATTTACCATTTTTAAGTAGACAGCTCAGCGGCATCGAGAACATTGACACTGCTGTGGAAGCATTGCCACCACCCACCTCTGTGATGTTTTGTCTTCCCAGACTGAAACTGTCCCCACGAAATGTGATCTCCCTATAATCCACCCACCCAGCTCCTGCCAGCCATGGTTCTACTTCTTATTTCTGGGAATTTGGCACGGCCATAGAAGAATCGTACAATCGCAGTCTTTTTGTATCTGATCTACCTCACTTTGTATAATACAGTGTTTTCGGCGCTCAGCCATGTTGAGCGTGTACCAGAATTTCATTTCTCTTTTAGTCTGGATCATGTTCCATTGTATTTTTATGCCATTTTTTTCTTGACCCATTCACCCATGGTTGGACCCATGGGTATTTTTACCTTTTGCCTCTGGTGGACAAGGCTGCTATGAACATTAGTGAGAATATCTTGGTTTGAGCCCTGCTTTCAATTCTATGGAGGTTATACTTAACGGGGATTGCTGGACCATGTGGTAACTCTATGGTTGATTTTTTTGGTGGGGGGAGAAAATACCACTTTTGTATGTGACTGCAGCACAGAGTGAGGTTTTTCAAGCATATACACCTGTGCAATCTCCATTGCAAACAAGATAAAGGACATCTTCACAGCCCCGAATTTTCACCTACCTTTGCCACTTTCCCCGATTCTTCAACCCAGTCAACTACCACCCCGGCTTCTTTTCCTGTCTGAGTCCTGTCACTCAACGTGTTTTCTGAGTTTTATGCAACATATGCATTCATACCACCTATTTCCTCTCATTTTACTCCCGATCATAAGCATGGAATCTTTAAAAAGTGGTTTTTAAAATTTTTTTTGTATTAGCGCACGTTGGCAGTACACAGTGATTGCATTCCCGATGGGAACTCAACGCATCCGACCTCTTTTTCCAGCTCCTCCCTCTCCCCTCCCTCCATCTCTTGCCTCCCTTAAAATGTGCTTTTTCACTGATCTTTGAAAATTGGCTTTAACACTTGATATTCTGTGGCGGGGATGTATCATCCCTTCCTAACTCATCAGGACAGATTCCAATTTTTCTTGCTGTTATAAACGACACTGAATGGGACCTGCTTGTCTGGAGATCTCTGACTATTTTGTTAAAATGAATTTGTAGGGGTGGAATCGTTAGGCAGAAGGGCATCAAGCTTTCGTCTCCCTCTACCCTTCACCACACTGCTCTTCTGAATGATGTCACCGAGTTCCGTTGATTTGCTTTCTGAGTTTCTCTCGGGTCCTCAGTGCCCTCCCCATCTGGGTTCCCTCTGCCCTTCGGGGTCACGACTCCCCCCTGGGCCCCCTACCTGGGCTGCAAGCGACTCTCGACACCCAAGACACATACCGTGCTCCCAGGAGCAGCCCCGTTGCGAAGGGCATCAAAGCGGCAGCTGAGCAAGAGCCTCGGCAGCGGCAGAGAGGGCACCTGTGGATTTGGGGGCACAGATGGATCGAGGGTCACTGGTCCCCTTCCCTCCTTTTCCACCGGTGCCCAGACAGTGGACCAGCACAGGCGCTCTGAGAATAGATGTGGCAGGGAGATACTTGCCTGGATTTCCTGAAAGCCACCTCCAGGGCTCCTTAGAGCCACCATCTCTAGTGTTGTCCAAAGAGGAAACCGTGGTACTGGCCAGCAGCATCCCGGGGTGGCGTCCTCAGGATCCAGAAAGAAGTTAAGGGCTCTCAGCCCAGGGACCCTCGTGCTCTGGGGTCCTGCCGCAGATTGCCACCTGAATGGAAGATGCCAGCCCTTCTGTGGCCCCAGGCCAAGTCTGCTTCAGCTCTAGATTGTCCCCAACACAAAGGAGGAGGTGCGAGTGTCGCCATATAAAGGTTCCCCTGTACACAGCGAGACACTATGTCCCAGCGAGAAACTATGGCCTCTTGTCTTGACACCCGTATCTCCAAGGAATGCTGGGGGAGTAGACCCCGGCCAGGAACGCTGTGACCGAGGGCTGGGGCCCAGACATGCCCAAGGTCAGCTCTGCCCTTTTGTATCTAGCCTTGTGAACTTGATATAGCTGGGGCAGGTCACGGTGATAGTGACCGTGGACATCTGCAGGTTGGAGTGTGCCGGCCATGCTGGGACTCTTGTGTCTCCTGCTTTGCAGAGGGAGAAATTGGGACCAAGAAGTGTTAAGTGTCCCCACTGCAGGCTGTGCCGGTCCCTCCAAAGTAGTGAGAGAAAGAAAAGATTCAGTTGTGATCGTGCCCGACAGGGACAGAAGAGAGAATTCATTTCATCTACAAAGAGACTGACTGAGCACCAACTCCACGCCAGACTCTGTGCTGGGTGCTAGGGGCACAGGGAGAGACTGGCTCTGCCCATGATGAGCACAGAGTGAGAGGGAAGCACTGTCCCCATGAACCGTGCAGGAGCGGCCTGGATGCCAGCCGAGGGCCTGATCCCGGGTCCAGCCATGCTCCTTATTGCAGTACTACAGAACTCCTACAACTGACCACAAAAGCCATGGTGGACTGGAGTGGCCACAGCTACTTACTCAGCTGCGTATCCTCTGGGAAGTTACTTGGCCTCTCTGAGCTTCAGCTTCCTTATGTTTAAAAGGAGATATCACCTCTGATGTTCCCCATACAGCTGGCATTTGGTGAGTACTGATATAAACTTGAGACAGGGCAGGATAAGGGCCGATGTGCACTCATGTAAAGAAAAGCACAAGGCTGCCAGCCTGGGTGGGACCAGGCATAGGACTTGGAGGCCTGGGGTCCCTGAAGCACCCATGGTGTGTTGGAAGGAGGCTGTGACTGTGAATCCTGATACCTCGCTTTCATTAGATTGAGAGACACTTAGCGAAGCAGTAGAGCACACTCCTGGGCGTGTCTGGGTGGATGACGGAGGCGGGAGCTTGTGTGCTGTATCTGTTCCCTGCCCTTCCTCTCTGGTGCTATTCCCCTGCGCTGCTTCCTGGCGCCCATGAACCAAGCAGCTTTGCTCCACCACATCCCTAGCTTCACTCCTGGGAGCTTGATTCCTGACTCAACCCCAGAGACTCATCAGAGCTGATTCCTCAGCCTTGGACAGCATGGCTGCCTCATGCTTGCTGCCTGAGTCCCTGTGCTGTCTGGGTCCCATTCCTTCTGAGGTCTGAAGCTCGTGTTGTCCTTCGTTTAGGGAGGTGTCTACGACTGCACTAGTTAGCTTTCCTGTCACGGGGACACATACCTAACACTCAGAACTTAGAGGAGAGGAAGTCTCATTTGGCTTATGTCCATGGTCCGCTGGCTCCAAGGCAGGAACACTGTGTCAGAAGGACACGGTGGAGGAAAAGCTGCTCACCTCAGAGTGGGTAGGAAGAAAAGAAAGAGGAACCAGGAAGGAAGATCCACCCTTCCAGGCCGTGGCCCCCATGACACCCCTCTTTCTACAGACTCCACCTAATAACATATTTAGCCATAAATTCATCAGTCGCCTAACCCATCAATGAATACAGCACCCCACGATCCAATCACCTCCCCAAATTTCTACTTCCATGTGTGTGAAGCTTTTGCAGGAAGGGCATTTGATCTAAACCACAACAAAAGTAAATCCTGGGGAGTTCTCACCTCTCTAAGTGTGGAGCCTTGAATCCCTAATCTTTTCTTGCCTTTCAGTATCAAGTCCCCAAGTTCAGGGTCTCCGCATTTGGGAACCCAGCAGAAGCTGGGGAAATAAGTTCTTCCTATGGACAGGCTGTTCACCACCTCCCTTTATTCTTTGAACACCCTTGCCAAGAAACTGTGACTACTCCATTTTACAGACGCAGAGACTGAGGCTGAGAGAGGATTAGTGACTCCTCTGCAGTGTTCCTGGGCAAAAATACCAAGGAGGCAGGCACCCAGAGAAGCAAAGTCTCACTGACAAGATGAAGAGTTTAGAGGTGGGGGGAGGAGGCAGAGCACAGGAGGAAAATCAGCTCCAACCACTCCCAAACTTCAGGGTGGGCAAGGTGATGAATTCTTAGGGGCTACGGTGAATGAGCAAAGGGCAAGAGCTGGCAATTTCTGGAGCAGGAGTTACAAAAAGGCAGAGTAGTGTTAGGAAGGAAAAATTAGTTTTACTCCTAACTTAGTCGAGATCTCAACTAAGTCTACAGTGAGACACACTGTCTTGGTCACTGTCCTTGTAGCTGGGACGTGATACCCGACACCCACAAATTGAAGGAGGGGAGGTTTATTCTGGCTCCCAGCTTGTGAAGGTTTCAGTCCATAGTCAGCTGGCTCAAAGGCAGCTTGGCAAGGCAGTGGGGAAACAGTCCACGGCAGGGCAGACAGGAGGCAGAGAGAGAAGGGGGAGGAGCTGGGAAAGGAGCTAGAGCCTTCCAGGTCACACCTCCTATGACCCCCTCTTCCAAACCCTGACCCTGACCTCCTAACAGCAAGTCAGCTATAAGCCTCCAAAACCCCATCACCTTCCAGAGGTCCTGGCCTTGATCCATGAGATTTTAGGGGGACATGTAGGTATAAACAAAGACACACATGACCAGCTTCCCCAAGGGACTGGTACAGGTGACAAAGGTCAGAGCATCCGGCCCCAAAGCAGAAGTGGGCAGTCTTGGAACTACTGTAGGAGGTATACCGGAGCAGCCTTTGTGGAAAACTTACCTATCAAGATTTCATTTTTGTTGTTGCTGTTGGTTTTTTTCCGGTATCGGGAATCAAACTCACAACCTTGCGCTTGCCAAGCAGGCGCTGTGCCGCTGAACTAAATCCCCAGCCCTCCCTATCAAGATTTCAGATGCCCCCTCTAGGGCCTAACATGTGTAAGGCGCTGGGTTTGATCCCCAGAATCGCAAAATACATACCTACATACATACCCATATACATACACACATACAATATACCTGGAATCGCTATAGAAACATGGCCCGTGGCACTGACATCTGTTCAGGGATATTCAAGACCCACTGCTGGTAACAAAGATAACTTGAGAATGACCTCAGCATCTTCTGGGGAGAGATGGCTGGGTAAATGAAGGCATAAACATAAGAGGATATGAAGGTGGAGTCATCCAGGGTGTTGGGGGATGTCCCGGCTATGCTGGGACAAAGCCAAGTTTGAAAACAGGGTCTGTGTCAGGTATTGTGTCCCAGACTGTGATGGTCTATCTGTGACTGTGTGACTCTGACCGTCTGTCTGGGATGGTTTGTTTGTGATCCCGTGTTTGCGGCAAACCAGAAAAGCCTCTCATTGTGTGTGTGTGTGTGTGTGTGTGTGTGTGTGCGCGTGTGTGTGAAGAAATCTCAAAGAGCAACACATCTGAATGCTAATAGTGGTTTCTTCCCGGACTGGGATTTAGAGATCCCTCTTGGAGACTTGAATTTTTATTGTACCCACAGCGTGTCGTGAAACGGTCTTGCAGTTGACATTCACTGCTCTCACAATCTAAATGATGTTTAAAGCCAAGAAAAGGAATCTGTAGAGGCGCCTGGCACATAGGAGGAGCTAACCAAGTATTTGTTGACAAGGAATCCGCCTTCCTTGGGCTGAGCTGCCCCACCTCCGCCCTCAGATCGCAGCAGTGCAGGACGCTGCCAGAATGGATCTCGGCAGTCCTGGAAGCCGGCAGCCACGTTTCTCTAGGGGATTGCTGTAAGGCTTGAGCTCTGTTTGGCTGGCCAAAATTTTTATTTGTGGGGAGATTAAGAAAAAAATAAAATAAAAAAATCTTAAAGCAGTCCGGCCGTCCCTTCCAGCCCACTGTGGTGAACGGCAGGGCTTGAGGCTGGCGGGCTCCAGCTTCTGCAGACTCGCGGGCCCACAAAACAAACAGCCGGACGGAGGGGACAGAAACAGACATTATGCATGGCCCCCTCCTTCCCGGCTGTCACCAGCCGGCCGCAGCCCCCTCCCCCTCCCAGGCAGCCTGGGAGACCCTCCCTCCGCCGCTCCCCCAAACCCCACACCTCCTCCCTCTCCCACCTCCAGCCCCGCCAAAGGCTTTTTGAAGTTGATCAATGAAACATGTTTTATTTAAGGGCCCTATTCCTGAGCAGGGACTCTGCGAGGCCTTCATTAGTTCCACATAATGAAAGAATGGGCTGATTCAAGGGGGCTGGGGAGAAAAAAGAGGGGAAATTAGAGTTCTGTCTGCTCACTTAAAAAGAGAGAGGGAGGGAGAGGGGCAGAGAGAGACGGGGGCGGCGGTGGGGTGGAAATGTGGATTTGCTGAATAAAGCGCTGCTGCGCGGAGGCCTGGGAAGGGTCCTGCTCAACCCTCTTAGCCTGGCAGTGTGGGTCTCCCAAGCGGCTGCCCCAGCAGCCCGCATTCCTGTCAGGATGCAAGGGCAATCAGCTGTTTAAATTGCTACGTAGGTTTCCGGCTGTTTTACCAGTGATTTGCCCAACTTAATAGCTCTTTAAGGTTTTAAACAAGAAAATAGCTCTTCTCCCAACTCAAAGCAGCGGCCGGGTCAGCTCAGACGCACCCATTGTCCCCAGCTTAAGCCCTTCTTGCAGCGGCTCCCCTTCCCCCTCTGGCCGGCGGGACTTTGTCCAGTTTGGCTAGACTCTTTATTTGTCCTTTTACCATTCGAGTGTGGGGGCCTGCGCCCAGCACTTCTTCCTAAGTGCTCTTTGGAGGGGGCCGCCTGTCTGCAGAGTGACGCACACCCCGTCCAGCTAGTAGTGCATCCTACCGAGCACGAGGAAAGAACGCCTCTGTGCTGAATGCTGACTACGTGGGGGGGGCTTTTGTAACTCGTCCGGTTTCATTTTCCTCACCATCTGCAAAGGAGATGGAGGCTGCTAAGGTGACCATTTTATAGATGGGGAAACTGAGGTGCAGAGGAAGGGGAGCACTTGGCCAAATTCATATTGAACTATCCAAGGGGATCTGGACTTGGCTGACTGTCAGAGTCTCAGGTCTTGGCCTCTACCCTGCTGGCCACCAGGATGCTGCTGAGGCTTGGGCAGTTGGGACAGACCAGGCAGGGGACTCCTGGGATTCAGGGGTTTAACTAAGTTCATTCCTGTGAGCTGTGGACCTGGGGGCAGCTGTTGGACCCAGCTTTCAGGGAGGTGGCAGAGGTGGGCAGAGGAGAGGTCCCGAAATGTAGAGGCCTCACTTGGAAGGTGAGTAGGGGATTCTGAACTTAGGGGTCTTTGTCCAGCATGAAATTCATTATCCATTGATCACAATTTAATGCAAATATACTAAAAAAGCAACACATTTTTCTGATTACACAAGTCAAGAAAGTAAGTGGCAGAGAATTTGAAAGACATAAAAACGCATCAAGAGCACATATAAAATGTCGAGGGCACTGCTCGGCATCTGGAAGGCTGTCATCTTATCGTTGTCTCCATTATCTTAAAGATATTCAGTGAGAGAGGCTTTGGGTACACTACATTCTTTCTGGTCCTTCCAACACACACACACACACACACACACACACACACACACCCGCGCGCGCATGTCACCCTGGACTATAATTACACTACGCACAGTTTTAGGTGTGCATGTTTGCTTCCTCTTAGATTCTCTGTGATTCACCTGGCTGGAGAGCTCTGATGCAGGCTCATACACGTCCCCTGTCAGGACCCCGTGTCCTTTGACTCCTGCTCACATCACACATTCTAGAGTGTGGCCAGGACTCATACACTCGTGGCACAGGAAGTCATTGGAGATGGGTGCAAGGACCACAGGTGAGCAGGGGCCGGGCAGAAAGGAGCCCCAGATAAGACGATACTCAAAGTGAGGCGGGAGCCAGAGCCTGGAGCCTCCAGGGCAAAATCAGTGGGGGGGGGGGAGGGGGCGGTTCCCCTTGTTTCCCAAGGCAACAGGGGGCCGCGGATGGCTTCTGAGCAAGGTCAGTGTTCACGAGCAGATCAATGCTGAATGCCCCACATGTAAGACATCAGGAAAGGCAGGCCTGGGCCCAACCTGCCTCCTGGCAGAGAAACAATGAGCTCTCCACAGAGTAGAAATCGGCTCCCTGGCCTTCCTCGGCCTCAACATGGGCTGAGCCTGGAGCTCCGTCTCCTTGGCCTGGCCGGCTGGGGCCTCTGATGTGGCTGCTTCCCTGGCGTGGGAGGGAGGCGTTGGCAGGGGTTACCGATACCCACCTCTTGCACCTGGACCTGGGGTGAGGCCGAGTCCCTCTGCTGTGCCGTTCGGTGAGTAGCTTTGAGAAGAACAGAACCTTTCTTTCCCCTTCCTTCGCAGATGGGGAAACTGAGTCCCAAAGAGGGCTGGGGTTGTGCTAGAATCTCTTGGCAGGTGGGTGGCAAAGGCAGACCCGAGAAAAATTCTTCTATTCGCAGCACAGTTTGCAGTTCTCACCGTTGTGGCTTGTTCCTGTGCCTACTTCATTCCCCACTTGCTACCCTCCTTAAAAAACAAATCCCGGGAAGTGAAAAAAACTAACTGCTAAAACAACATCAGCGCTATTCCTCTTGGTGTCAGACAAGGTGCAGGGACCGTCATGTTCACATACCATGTTCACAAGTTGTAAACTACTGTCACCTGTGGGGAGATGATTTGGCCATATCTACCAAAAATTTTAGCCATACTTTAGGTGACACACGACCGTAATCCTAGTTACTCAAGAAACTGGGGCGGGAGGATTGTGAGTTCTGGGCCAGCCTGGGAAACTGAGTGAGACTCTGTCTCGAGATAGAAAATGAAAAGGGCTGCAGGTGAAACAAAGTTCTATATGTATGCCAAAGTGTATGTCCAAGGATGTCCTCATAGTACTGCTTTTCAAAGGAAGACCAGTTTTTTAAAAACCCTAAGTGTCTATAAACAGGGACTGATTCAATATATTTTGCCACATCTGCACATGGAGCATTATACAGTCATCAAAAATCCTAGAGTAAACAAAATTTTACAGCGTTTGAAAATAGATGTTTCTCCATACACTTGGAGTATTTTCAAACCTAAAGATTTTGACCAATTTTTATTTTTCTCTGTGCTTTTGCTGGTATTGAGTGAGAGCTTTGTGAATCTTGGCAAGTTGATAGGTAAACAATGTACCTATTTTCTTAACTTGCATTTCTTAAATATGAGCCAGATTGAATTGTTTTTGTGTGGCATTTTTCATTTTGGGGGCAATCTCCTTTTCATATACAGCAAAAAAATTTTGTCAATTTTTCTGTTAGGTTTAAAATCTGTTTCTTGCTTATGCCTATGAGCATTTTCTAAATTAAAGCAATTTATCTTACAGAATGGTGGTCCCTCTCCTGGTTTTGCCTTGGCTTTACTTCTACTTTTTTTTTTTGTCCACTTAGAAATTTAAGGATTTTATGTGGTCAAAATTTTTTGAGATTCAATTTTTTTTTGGTACAGAAATTTTTTAAACAGTTAAACACCTCTCATTTCCAACTTTTGATTCCCTTTTATCATTTTTAAAAAATTTTTAAGATTTTTTTTCTTTGTTTTTCTTCCAGTACCAGGAATTGAACTCATGACCTTGCACTTGCCAGGCAGGTACTTTGCCGCTGAGCTAAATCCCCAGCCTCCTCCTTATCATTTTAAAACTTAGAAGAATTTCATCTCTCCAGAGATCTGGCCAGTATTTCCTTATTCACTGGCTGGTCTTTCAGGGACTTTATTTGCCTTCTACATATTTTTCAGTATAAGTTGGATTTAAACTTACACTTTCCCTAGGACTGCGTCCCATTGCCATTGATTTAATAGTACAGTTAGAAGGATAGAGCTGAGGAAATCACTGTCTTCTACTCATTTAATTTTTGTTTGTTTGTCCCCCCCCCCCCTGTACCAGGAATCGAACTCATGACCCTGCGCTTGCCAGGCAGGGGCTGTGCCGCTAAGCTAAATCCCCAGCCCTTTTACGGCACCTTACGACCACTGCTGCTAGCACTGTCCTGAGAGGGATCTCTGATGCTCCAGGATCTCCTCCCCTGACCTTTGGCCACCTTCGCTCCACCTCCCGCCTCATTAAGGGTTCATGAATATGCATAATGTGTCCCGCATGTGATTAAGATCAGCGTGGATTGTGGGACACGCATGCGTGTTGAGCGCCCTGTCAATCATTCCTGTCAGTCACACCGGGGGCACCTGGGCTGGGCGCGGAGCCTTTAAAGTCCGGAAGCCCGGTTCGTCCGTGTGCAGCGGGCAGTGCTTTTGCTTTCTGGCTACCCCGACACCAGTCTTCTTCTTGGCACGGAGTGGCCCCGAGCACAGCTTCCTGTGACCCCCGGTCAGGGTCGCCGCCGGCCCCTTGACACCCAGTGCTACGCTCTGCACCTCATCCCTGCCGCGCAGGGGAGCCTGGGTTAAACCTGCTGACCCCATCGCGAGGAAACGGCCCTGGATTACTTGATCAGGAATAGGGAGCCCTGTTTCTCTTCTCCCCGCTCATGGCGCACTGTAATAAATCAGAGACGACTTGATCCTCCTCTCTTTCAGACTTTGTAGATTTCCCACCCGTTTACCTCCCCGAGTGGACGCTTCCCGGGGCTTCCAGACCGCGTATCCCGCCGCTTAGAGAGAGCGTTCCTTTCCAGGCTTATAAATTCACCTTTTTATGAATTTTAAGTTCATGTTTTTGGTTTAAATTTTGGGTCCATCTGGAATGAATTTGAGTATAAGGGGTGAGGTAGGGATTCCATTTTATCCTTTCCAGATGGCCGATTTCCAGTTATCTCAGCCCCACGATCTGAACAATAGGGCTTTCTCCTCTGATAGGAAATGCCTCTTTTTATTTATGTGCTGAATTTCCACTTCCGTTCCCATCCATCTCCGCATGCAGGTCTGCCCGGACCTCTCCTGGTCCTTCCCGACACCACTAAACTTTTACAAACTACTGTACTTTCACAGGACATTTTAACATCTGGTAAAAGTAGCCCTCTTTCATTACTTTTGTTTTTCCTTATAATTTCCCTGGCTGCTCTCGCATGTTTATTTTTCCAGATGAAATTTGGTATCATTTTTGTCAAGTTCCAAAAAGTAAAAGAAAATAAGAACCTTGTTGGTTTAAGGCTTTTCTTACCGGCGAACGGAGTGTTTGCCTAGGTTACGGATATTAACCTTTTGCCTTTTATTTGGGGGCCAGTCTGTTTCCTCCCTACCCCCAGTCTTGTTAATTTTGTCTGTGGTACAGAAGATTTGCTGTTTTTATGTAGTCAAATCTGTTCTCCTTTCTCTTAAAAAAAAATAACCTCAGTCATTTCAAAGCTTGAAAATTTTCCATTCCTCCAGAGAGCTGGTCCATAGTCACTTACATTTTTGGCCCGTCTCTCTAGGATTTACTTTGCATTATAAATAATGTCTTTTTCAGCCTTGTGAAAGATGCAAAGATCGCGTCCAAGCCAATTTCTTTCCTGCTGCTCCTTCTGCTTCCCTTTGCCCTCTGCAGACACCGGGATCTGTATTAGATTTTTTTCCCTGAGAACAGCTCTCTGCCCCACGCCAACCCATTCATGTCTGCTGCACTGTTTAATCAGGGATGTAACCATCTATTTTAACATCTAATTGCTCGCGTTTCTCAAAATATTCCTTGGATTTCTCACTCTTTTGTTCCCCAAAATAGGCGTGATTCATCTGGCCCCCGAGAGCCCCGTGAGGAAGGCGAGATGAGCCCCACTAGCTGGGTGTTTGCTTGGGCTGGAGGAGGGGTGCAGGATTTAGACGAGGATGCATGTGCCTCTTAGGATCGGAGCTGTCTTCTTTCAGCTGCAGCTTTGGTGGTTGAGTCTGCCATGCAGGGGAAGGAGCGGGGTGCTTCATCGGCAGACTGTCCAATGGGCAGTCTCAGGTGGTCTGCTCTGGGGACCATTACCGAGACTCTTTGGTCTAAACTGCCACCCACAGCTGTCACCAGTGTGGAGGAAATCAGTGTGGAGGATGCCGGGAGTCACATCTGGCCTGGGGTGGAACAATAGCGTGGGGTTGGAGATGGGCTCCCACTCCCTGCATCCCTGCCCCCCCATCCTGTCCTATGCATTCTGTGTTGTCTCTGCCACCTCAGGTGCTGGGGTCTCCCAAGCGCCCAAGGCATCAGCACCCCTGTCATTATCCTATTATCCTGTGCCGAGGAGCAGGGGGAGGGGCGGCAGGGTGGCCCCGGAAAGGCCTCTCATTTGCAAACTGACAGCAAAGGTCAGTACCAGTGCCCCTCCCCTGTGAGCAGGAGGGTCGCTGCAGAGGGGGCCTTGGGCAGCCGGCTCCCTGCAGGGACCTTCAGCTGATCTAGGCCATAACCTCCCCTGAGAGCTGAGGTCGAGGGTGAAGGCAGCGTCCAGGTCAAAGACAGAGAGACCCGAGGGCAGGTAGAAAGCAGTGTCTGCCTCTAAGGTGCAGGCCGGGCTCAGGATCAGGGAAGACTGTTTATTTCTTTTCTTTCATTTTAGCTTTCATCTTAATCCACCTCACGTAGGCAGACAGTTCTCCAAAATTTGTTAAGAAAAATAGCAGTTCCCTGCTCTGTCCCCCATGGCTTCTCCCCAGGGGCAGCAATTTCACCGCTTTTAATTATTTTGGTTTCTGCGTTGTTAAACCACACCCCTCAGAGGCCACATCGGTCTTGCTGCCTTGGTTGGCTGACTGCGCCTCTGGAAGAGGTGCCGCACCGGGTCCCGCTTGCCACGCACAGCTGCCCACAGCGAGGGAAAGCTCCTTGCCACCTGTGCCAGCCGCCACCCACCATGGCTGGCGATGCCCACTCCCAGCTAACGCTCCTGGTTCTCCTGTGCTGGGTTTCCTGGACAGCAGGGGCTCAGTCTGTCCTGAACTTTCCTCGAAGGACTTGGGGTGACCAGGTCCTCCTATGCCTGTGCCCTGGGCCGGGGGTGGCTGCTGTCCTAGGGTCCCCTGGCTTTTCTTCCGTTCCTCGTAGCCCAGTCTTCCCATCCTCCTCTTTCTCTCCATCGTGCTGGGGGTGGAACCCAAGGCTTTGTGCTTGGAGGGCGAGCGCCCCACCCTGAGCGCACCTTTCTAGGCCTTTGCCCTGTCATCCTGACGGGCAGTCCCCTCTAGTAACCTCCCGAGGAAGGGAGGTCCAAGGAGACTGCAGCCTATGATGCGTGTGTCTTGAAAGACACCTTAGTAATCGTTGAACTCATGGCCAGACCTGCTGTATTTTCAGCCCGAGTGAAGCTCGATGTAACTCACGCGCTGTCTACACCCGCTTCGCCCAGGTGTGACAGCCTTGCACCTGTGGTCGTCTTGCAATGAGGTCGCCTACATAAAGCACCCAGATGCGGAATCGGGGCATGAGGAGGGTGGTGGAGCGGACATGAGCTTACGGTATGAGAGCCAGAGCTGACACACGTGCACTTCAGCAGCAAGTGGCTCCTCGAGAATGGGGAGGACCGACTGTAATGTTCGAAGCCTTCTTCTGCCTAAAAATACTCGCTTTATCCTCACATTTGATTGAAGGTTTCGCCGGAAGAAGAGATCTGGCTGGAAACAGCTTTCCTTCAGCGTTCCGCAGCATTGTGCTTTTTTTACTCCACCCAGAATAGTCGCATTGGTCCACATTGCTTTTCCTCCATCTCTGGGGCCGCCGCACGGCTCTCCTCGCGGTCTAACAGCCCTCGGCTGTCTGTCTGTGGGGCGCAGGAGCCCAGGGGTCTCCTGGCTTGCGAGGGCCGCTAACCAGAGGCATCGCCGGGGATGCCCATCTGTGCGTGGACCTTTGTCCTGGGCTGGCGAGGCTCCCCCGGGAGAGCACGTCCTTCTCTGGCTGGACCGTGCAGGACCTGGGTGGGCACAGATAAGGGTCCTCAGTGTCCCCTATGCACCTGTCCATGGGTCCTTGGTCTCACAGGCCCTGCCTGGAGTGGCAGGAGGGTCGCTGTGCTGCTCTGTGGATTGCCCAGAGTTGGTGAGTAGACTCAGGTGACTTTTCCTTCCGCTCCTCCTCCTTTTTCTCCTTCCCCTTTTTCTTCTTGCAGTACTGGGGATCAACCCCAGGGCCTTCATGCTCCGCTCCATCTCCAGCCTGTTTGTCCTTTTTATTTTAATGGGTTTACTACGTCACTATATTGCCTGGGTTGTACCCAAACTTGCAGTCCTCCTGCCTCAGCCTCCCAGAGTGCTGGGGTTACAGCACACCCATCTCAGACCCTAGCTTGCTAACGATGACCTGAGCAGTGGCCCATCAGCCCCCGCTCCTCATTTTGGCCAGCCCCCCTAACCTCCGGCTCAGGGCAGCCCCCCGGCTCTTGCGGACTGGCGATGGATGTCCAGCTGTGTCTGGTGCGGCTGTCCTCCTCCTCAGTGGACGATCGGCTTCCCACTTCCAACTCAGGCTGCTTGCTCTCGGGCTTCGTAAAAGTGGCTGCTGCTGTCTGCTCCCCAACTCCCTGCACTCTGTGTGGCTTTTGAGGAAGTCCTCTACTATCCTGGCAGCCGAGTTTAAGGAGGAGAGAAAGCAGTCCAGCTGTCCGACCTGTCGCCTGGATTGGAAACGCCATGATCCTTATTTCCTCGGTGTCTGTCTGGTGTGGGAGCCCGGGAGCATCCCCAGGACAAGGGGCCTTTCCGATTCACTTCCAGGCTCCTGCACACACACAGGATTGGCCCCAGGGAACCCTTGTTTGAGGTTGGAGCATCATAGAAGGGAGGCAGCTCTTAGGCCAAGAGAGCCGAGTTCGGATCCCCGTTCTGCTCTGGACTTCCGGGGAGAAGACAGGGCGCTGTGCTTCTGGGCCTCGCAGGCTCTTCCCCTCATCTCTCTGAGGTTCTGAGGTCAGCTTGTCTCACGAGCACCAAGACAGCAGCAGAAATGCGGCGTGCATCACCACGGGCTCTGGAGACGCACCAGGAGCTGGCCGAGCCCCGCCATTTGGAATAATTACACACACACCTTACCTGTTTGCTGGTCCCCTCGTAGCTTCCAGTCACGGTTCAGAGGGTGGATGCCAGGTCCCGAGACTTCCCCGGCGAAGGCAGGAGGCCCCGGCCCCACTTTCTCAGATCGCACACTGGCCTTTTAGCTCTGAGCTGCGTTGGCCCCGGGGGCCCTGTGTTTTGTGGCCCTTCCTGGCTCTCAAAGGCGTGTGCGGGGCCACACATTCTGAGGAGCTGCCTGGAATGGTCTCCTCGAGACTGCCCTTTCTGGCCCTCCTTTTAAGTGGATTTCCCCTTCTTTATGTGTCTGTGTTTGCCACACATAATAAATACGGTCAGGGCGGGGGGCCAGGACGAGTACACATCGCACCTTGATCTTCTTCCTTGCCCTCCCGCCCTCCCGCCCCTACCCTTCATCATAGATGTTTTTTCGTAAGTGAAAACACGCTTTCCCCAGGTTGGCGGCTCCGGTGTAGACTTTCAGACACTGTTTGGCTTGG